GGACCAAGTACAGTAACCTCAATTTTGCCTGAATTTAGAAGTTGGAAATTCGAGACCATCCAGGCTTTTATGCCTTTAAGACATGCATGGATTTTGGTTTGTATGATCTGGCTTCATAAATAGATAAATAAAGCCGGGTATCATCTGCATAGCAATGAAAATGTCTGCTCTGTTTTCTAATAATACCGTCTAAGGCAGGGGTGTTGAACTCCAGGCCTCGAGGGCCGGTGTCCTGCAGGTTTTAGATGTGTCCTTGATCCAACACAGCTGATTTAAATGGCTAAACGACCTCCTCAACATGTCTTGAAGTTCACCAGAGGCCTGGTAATGAACTAATCATTTGATTCAGGTGTGCTGACCCAGGGTGAGATCTAAAACCTGCAGGACGCCGGCACTCGAGGCCTGGAGTTGGACACCCCTGGTCGAAGGGAAGCATTGGTCTCAGCACAGAACTCCGTGGAACTCCATGTCTAACTTTTGTGTGTGACAAAGACCCTGTAAGCTGGAATCTATCAGATAAATATGATTCAGACTCACCGCAGTACAATTCTTTTAATATCAGCAGTGTGTTTTAATATCTGCAGTAAAACATTGTGGTCATCGGTATCAAATGATCCACTGAGGTCCAGCAGGACAAGCACAGAAATGAGACCAATGTCAACGGCCATAAGAAGACCATTAGTAACCTTCACTAGTGCTGTTTCTGAGGTATGATGCACACTAAATCTTGAGGAAAACTCTTCAAATAAACCATTCCATGCAATTATTTCCCGCAGCTTAATTCTGCTGGCTCCAATCAGCTGAGTTTGGAGGATGGAGTTCGGAGTCATGGCATTGGACAGGCTCAGGTTACTGTGTTTTGTAGCAGCAACATACACGCTGTTTTAAACAATATCAGCTGTTGTTTGCTATGTAGAAACTGTCACTGGATTACTTTAACGCCCAGGAAATCTTAATAGGGCTCACTGTATTTCCCTGATGAATATGTCATAAACAGCTGGATCTCCATGGTGATGTTCCTGACTAAAAACAAAAACTGATGAAGTTTCTGTCCTCCTCTCAGCCTCGCAATCCACTCTATCAGTCTGCTGTCAGAGGAGATGTTCTCTCATTTGGCTTCTTTCTTTAAGTGTGTGTGTGTGTGTGTGTGTGTGTGTGTGTGTGTGTGTGTGTGTGTGTGTGTGTGTGTGTGTGTGTGTGTGTGTGTGTGTGTGTGTGTGTGTCTGCATTATCCCGCTCTGTTGGCAAGGCAGCCACAATAGAGCTGACTAATGCAGAAACAGACTGCGGGCTAAGCTTCTTTTTTCAAAGAAGTCTTGAAAAGTGAAGGGTGCATTGTGTGGCCCATTCCCCTAATATTTATACCTCGGCCCTCGGCCTTCGTCCTGCACTGCAGAAAAGCATCACCAATGTCAGGAACACAGAAAACACACCCACTCACGCAGAAACATTTGTATATACTCAGCAGGAGGGGAAAATGATTTTTCAGCCCCAGTTTGCACTTAAAGGTAAAAAACTAATTAAAAATCATTCATTGGTCAGACCTGTGTTTTGTATAGCACCTTGACAACTGGGCCTTTTGGCTGTTCCTGTCTGGGCTCTGTGACGTCAAAGGGAAATTAGGATTCAGACGTATTGTATAGCTCACGCAGTTTATCCTATTTCAGACAGCAACACATCAGAGAATGGCTTACTGTTTTTTATAGGAAATCCCAATACAGCTTTGTTGCTTTGATTTTGAAAGTGAATGCATTTTTTATGTATGTGCTTGTGTGTATGAGAGTGGATGTGGTGGAACACACCTTTGTGAGAGATGTGAGTCTGCTAGCCATGAAAGATGTAAGCTCACATTGAAAAAACGAATACGCAGAGAAATCAAAACCTTTGCTAGCAAAGCTGTAAATGCAACACAGACGTTTTTTATTTTTACCAAGCTTTACACGTCCAGGAATGAAGCTAAGCCGTTGTGTGATAGGGGAGCGTTTTGATAAACCAAAGCAGATCATTTTGACTTTTGTCCTCAGCTCTGGATGAAGCCCACGTTTCTCATCTTTGTACATCTTTGAAAGAGTTTATGATTATGGAGGAGCAGACAACAACTCGGTCAATGAAAGGGACTATGACAGGAAGTGATTTATTCATGTAGGTAAGTGCATGCTTGGAAATGGGACAAAATTGGCAGGTGTTACAATCGATGGCTGTCCAAATCTTACAGGGAAAAATGGCGGCTTTTTGAAGCAGATCCAAGATAAAACGACTGAAAGAATCCAGAACTGGAGTTGGTATTTTTGCAGTGTATTGCACACCAGGAGGTGTTCTGTAACTTCATGCTAAAAATGAACCATGTTGTAACTAAAATAATGACCTTAAGGGCAACAGCACTGCATCACAGACAGTTTGTTGCACTTTTGGAGGAGCATGACCCTGAACATGGTGACTCTGGGCTCTGGGCCAAGTGCTAAAGAAATGTTTTTAATATATGAAGTTCACATTTTCATTGCTTAATTGTAACATCTGTTCTTACCAACAGTAGTTTAGAAATTCACTGGGCCTCCACGGCAGTCCCAGTTTCTCATGTGGCCCTTGGGAAAATTGCCTGCCCCATCAAGGGCACATCAAATAAAAGAATATCTTTAGTAAGAATGCTGTTCTGGCTCCATGTGGTGATGTGAAGTCACCATGTGCCAACATTATTTTCATTATTATTTTCTCCTGTATGCACGTTAATATATAAGCCAAGTGTATGCCTATAAAGTTTGACTGGGAATGGGCCTGTGACAATAAAAACTTACCTGTTTTAAATGTTTGGATCTTACATGGAAGATCAGATGTCTTTGCACTTCTAGGGCATTTTCACTGTGGTCACTACTGTTTTTAGATCACTGTGTAAAAGTCATGCCGTCTCTCCTTTCTATGATTGATTGATTGAATCTTTATTTTGAAAATGTTGAAAAATTACAACAACATAGAATTAAAAACAGATAAACAAACAAAACAAAAGGAAAACGAGCAACCAAAACTACAAATAACTTTCATGTTCAAAAAGGAGCAGGAAGCAGCATAAGCTTATTTAATCCCACCCCCTTTCCAGTAATCTAGTAATCAATAGGCTACAGAAATACCTCCTTACAATTACATTATATGTTACGTGTATTTTTTATTTATTTATTAATTATATGTATATCTATCTATTTTTCTAGCTATCCATCCATGATCCATGATGCATGAAGGGTCTCCTGTAGTGTGCCAAAACATGCTTCAACTTCACTTTCATTTTCAGCAAGTTGATGAATTTAAAGAGAGCCTCACCTCTGGGCAGCACGCTAGGTAAACAAGAGAGTCACAGCCTCTGTGCATGACACGATTATTGTAGGGAGATTTCCTCTCTGTGACATAACTCCCATATTGCTATGTTGTAGCAATATGGGAGTTTTGCCACATGAAGAATAGAAGACAAAAAGAAGATATTTGGGGTCAGCTTATCGCAACACCTTATTTGCACTTTTGTTCTCATTGAACAGCCAGTCCTGTTCTCCCATAGACTCACTGCAGGTGATTAGAACGGTGCAGCTTTACCACCACAGCTGTCTGCAGCTGTTAAACAGTGTTACAGCCACCGGGGATCAAAGGGGTGCGATCCTACTGGAAGTGCGCACGGTGGCATGAGTCTATGAGAGGACTTATGACTGATCTGTAGACAGAGGTCTCAACCAACAGCCAGGTCTGATCACAATAAAATGCACCATCGCTCACTCATCCCTGCCAGTCTTTGTTAGGGACATGGTTTTGACAGTGTGTGTGTGTGTGTGTGTGTGTGTGTGTGTGTGTGTGTGTGTGTGTGTGTGTTGGGGGAGGAGGAGGCAGAAGGACAAGTGGGAGGGAAGGTAGGAGGAGGTGGGGGGCCCATCTGCCACTGAGCGTGCTGGGTCAAAAGGCCTTTGTTGTGAAGGAGTGATGAGACAGATAGATGGTCTTTGTCACCAACTGCTGGTTTAATCAAGTGAGAGTGTCCCAGCATGTAACATTTAGTCGTACTCCACCGCCACGCACACAACCACAACCACCCACAGTCAAACATAATGATTCTTCACCTTCAATTAACAACTGAGTGTCTGACAGAATGCAGTGGTTACAGCAGAAATCAATTAAAAGATTACGAAAAGAAAAATGAGATGAACAAGTGCAAAGAACATTTCTGGATGTCTCTGTGCTTCACTATATTTTATTTTGTGTCGTATCTCAGTTATTTATATTTTTATTTTTTTAAAGGAACTTTTAAACAGTGGCAGCCTTTTATCCCCCACTGTCTCCCTCAAGCCAAATTCAATTGAAAATCCTTGCCATGCCAGATATGTGCGCATGTGCGCTTCATAATTACAGCAGCTGCGTCAAGCGGGAATGGAAGCGGAAGTCAGAACTGCCCTTCAAATTAAAACCAGACACTATAAATGGAATTTTAAAAGAGAAAAATAATAAATTCAGCAAAACACAGCTTTGCCAGAATAAGAAGAGATAATATTATTTGAATCAGAAGATATTATGATTTCAAAATCATTTTTAAACATCATTTTTGGTTTTTTTAGGCTTAAAATGAACCCTTACACTTTAGAATTGAACATGTAATAACAAAAAAATAAACACTGGTGCAGATCTATCCTCTAGTGCTGAATCAGTCCAAGGTTTTTTCATGGAAAATCAAAGGAACTTAAGTTAGTTAGCGCATCTGCGTATTGGTGAAACATGTCATTTACAGTGAGAAACCAAAAGGTTACCATTCCAGGAAAAAGAGTTTCTGAAGAACAAGAAACAAAAGCATCAAAACACCGGAAATGATGCTTTTTTCTCTTTTGTTGCATTTTGTGGACCTTCTTGGTTTATAAATAGGAAAAGAAATGTGCAAATAAGACCATAAAAGCTTATAAAAAAACATTTGATTCATATTTGACATTTTACCTTGTACAGTGAAGCCGGAAGTACTCTCCTGGCATCAGCTGTGACTTGACGCAGGCTGCTGGGGCGCCAGGCAGCAGCAGTAGCTGTCCCGTCATCAGCTCACACCCAACGGGGCTGCAGCGCACCGCTCCTCCGGCGTGAACATCATGACACCCCGATTCAAAACCGCAATCTGAGCCGCACTGAGGGAATCGGCGGAGGACTGTTAGCAACGGACGTGGATACACACACACTCATGCACATATACATACACATTAACAGGCGCACACACAGGATCGCTAATATTGCAGCGGCCACCAGCAGCACAGCACAGACTGGAGCTGTGACCGAGGCGAACTCCACTGCTCCGTGGAATTGCTCTCTTCGCCCCAGAGACGCGTCCCGCTCGGACCCCTGCTAAAGAAATCCCTCCCCGCGAGTCGTTTCACGCCAAAAATGTCTTCTTCGGGCAAGGACGCCAACAGCGGGCATTACGCCAACTATGTGGGACCGTACCGCCTGGAGAAGACGCTGGGCAAAGGACAGACAGGTTAGTGAAAGCTCCCACATCACGCGTGGGTGCTGTGAGGACCGCGCTCGGCGTCACCGCACCTGCCCCGCTGACATCATGCCGGGTGATGCAGTTTTGCGTCCTGCGTGTCCCGAATGCGGGAAATGGGAGGAAACGTGTGCTAGTTGCGGATGTTTCTGGTGGATGCGGGGAGAGAGCTGCTGCTCTCTTCTGATCATAATGGTGGTGGTGATTGTGGTGTTGGTGGCGGTGCGCCTTTAATCCTTGTTGTCAGGCAGAGAGGGCTGATGATGATGATGATGGGCCCCTCTGATTTTTCTTGTCTCTAATTCCGTTCCAGCGTCCATCTGTCACATGGGCCCGCTGTGCTGAGGCTGCTCTCTGCAGGAGAGGCAGAGCGGTGATGCTGCACTGTCCGGTCCCTGCTCTCTCTCCCTCACTCTCTCTCTGTCACACACACACATACCGCAGCTGCAACGCAACACATCCCTGCATTGGCTGGTGCAGCGTAGGTATCATCGGCTTATTGCACTGAGGTCCTGCTGCTCTGTACATAGAATGTGTTCAGTATGGAGAACAGCAGTGGGTGATGATCACTCTTTGCTCCTGCAAAGTATCATTTTCAGCTGCACTATGAGTCATTTTGGTGGACTGGACTGTTTCAGGGCTTCGGTGCTTTGGCCATTTTGGAGACTGCAGTTCGAGGCAACGCTGCGAATGATCTGGAAGTGTTTATTATTTAATCTTTAGTTTATAGCTAAAAGAGCCTAAATGGGATGGACACTGAAAATATTGTTCAGGTATTCCCGTCAAGCTGCCAGGTGATGTCATCACAGCCATATTAATGAGACATCCGGCAGAAGGCTGATTTTCATCTGCAGCTCAAAGTCACTGCACTGTGTTGTCACTGCATCAGAATCGCCTCTCAGGTACTGTGACAGTAATGTGGCTGCTCTGGCCTGGTTCCCTGTTTCGGATGCCCCACCATCTGTGATCACATGCGTCTAGAAACTATAAAGGTTCTCCCTCCAGTTCCTGCAGGTAGACCCGATGCACTGCTCAGTTCCCTCAGGGGGGTGAATAATTCATAAGCAGCCAATTAGCTGCTTGCTGGAGTTGGATTGTAACAGCCCCACATTGCTGCTGTATTACTCACAGAATTCTCCTGTTTAGCAGATGGGATAAAGCTGCAAGAGCAATTTGTCACACAAAGCAACCCAGATAATTTGATTTGTTCGTGAACAAAGAACTTGGAGGTGACTAAAGTTCCAAATTTTATATTAGTTCTATTTATAGTAGAGTCGACTTTGCGTGTAAGAGCTTTCCTTCTATTGAAAGAAGACAACCTCATTCTTTTCCATTCCTTCTCTCTGTGGCACCGGCAGTATAATAGCTGCTGTTCAGCGCGACTAAGAAGGCGTGATGTCATCACATCCGTTCTTGTTGTGATGGCTGTCTTTCAGTGTTGCACATATGCTGAAACAGGATGGGGACGTCTGCTGCCCAGGTATATCAAGGATACTTATAGCCCAAGCGTTCTTGTGGCTCATTTTTCAATCCACTTGCTCTTATTTTGAAGGTTCTGGATGCTGAGAAGCTTGCTGTTGTCCTATCAGAGGTAGCTACCTCTGTACACCACCTCCATCATCTTGGACTTCAGCTTGGCTCAGCAGTCTTTCTTCTGTTGTGGAGCTCACTGCGAGCTGGAGGAGTCTCTCTCACCAGACCCTGAACTCGCTGAACTCACAGAGGCTGCAGATGGTTGAGTCGGACTTCGTCGCCACGCTGGAGCAGTGGCTGTTTATTGCTCCATTGTTTATTGTCACTCTGCAGTATTACTTAATGATTTATTTAAGGAAGTTCTGGTGCGCCTCCTTTCACATGTGCATGCGCTCTTCCTGCTGCCACAAATAGAATCTAATTATGTGGAAACACTGCTCTTCACAGGCAAAAACAGCACTGAGATGTTCTGCATTTCTGAAGTTTTCTAGACATTACCTGCAAAGCTTCATGTGAAAATGTCCAGCGCAGCAGGACATTAATGTGCCAGCCCCTGGTACAAAGTCTGCACAATGCCCATTCGAGATATTGGAATGGCGAGGATAGCGGCGAGCTGAGTTTACAGCCAGCGGTTGGTGGTTCTGCACCACCTCAATCCAAGCAGAGTGTTTCCTGTTGTGACAGCTGAGGGGTGCTACGAGCAAGGTTCAGACAGCACTCTAACCTGATTCTGATGACATTTTTCACAGTTAACATGTGAAAACTTGCAAGAATCTACCCCTCAGGTTATCATGTCACTGACCTCTGAAAGAGGTATGATATCACAGACACATGTCGCCTTCTCTTTTCCCGTGCCATCATCTTCTCTGGCTTAAAAGAGCCACTACCAGTAGTGGTGCTGTCCAGTGCGTACATCAAGTGACCCTGTGAGTGCTTCTCTGTAACTGGATACAGTGGTTGAGTGCATATGCTTGTAGAAATGAAGATTCATGCAGGAGTGCATGTGTGTGCTGGCGTGGTGAAGCGACAGCACTGCAAGAAAGGCTCTTCGTATAAATCTAAAGTGCTGGTGCTGAGCTGGCAGATGGGGAAGTCCGCACATCATTAAACCTCCTACACAAGTGCAGAACAAGCCCACGCTTTTTGTTAGTCTGTTTGTGTGTGCTTCCCTCTCTGCACAAGTGGCATACTCGCTGTGCAGAATCGCCATGTATCAGCTTTGTGGTATGATTCTGAAGATTAATTGGAAAGGACAGACGTACAACATAAGATGTGATTGTTTCCAACTAATAAATGAAAGTTTTTGGTGACAATGTAATTATCTAAAGCTTTAGGTCAGCACTGTTGTTTCACACCAAGGTGGTCCAGGGTTTGAATCCACACACCAACTGAGCCTCTTCTGTGTGGAGTTTCTATAATCTCCCCAGTTTCCTTCAGCAGTCCAGAGACATGCATGCTAGGTTAACTGATTCTAAATTGGCTGTAGGTGTGACTATGAGCATGAGTCCACCCGCATCACTGAGTTGGATAAACTGAAGCAAATGTTTGCATGGCTCTTTATATTTCACATGAGTTTATTTATATCAGGTCTGCTCGTAACAACAGTCACCTAAAGGCGCTTTATAAGTAGCTATTGTAGAGTTATAGCCGTACAGCTGATTATAAGCAAGCACTTGGTGACAGTGGAGCAAAAGAACTCCCTTTGAACAGGAAGTGAATGACAGAAGATGACAGAAAATGTGCAATCATCTCAAAGTCTCTTCACTTTTCCTTATAAGCGATTAACCAAAGTGGCAAACATCCTGCGATTCCATCCTGTCAAAGTTAGGATTCCCATCTTCATTATTGGAATGTTTTTGGATCGTTGGCCCGGTGAAACAAGGAGTTTGTTCGGAATCACCTCGTGCATCCTGTGGAAACCTGGCGTGGCTGTAGCTCTTGTACACTTTGTGTGTTTTTCTATGTGTATTTGTGTGTATGTGTCCACTGCTGCCAGGACACTTGCTCGTGGTTCAATGAGGGGAAACATGAACAAATAATAATTGAATTGTATTTCCCAGGATGCTCAAAGTGAAGCCTTTTCAGGCAAGATACTTCATACATCTAGAACATTCATTTATTCTTTTCTGTAGTCGGTTAGTGGAGGGCTTTCCCTGCTTTAGAGGCATTTGTTGAAGGCTGTCCACCTGATTGGATGTGTGACACACTTGCCCAGAGCTGCAACAGGATGGCTTTTGTAGAAAGCCATTTATTTAGACATTTTACAGACTCAAACAGCAATCGTTTAACTGAACGGGCCTTTAATCGATTCATAGACAGTAACAGCCGTTGCTGTTGTTTAGTTGCTTGTCCTCTGGGCTGCTTTGCCGTCCTTTCTCATAGATGAGGAAAAACTGTGTTTTCACACTGATATGATGCAAAGTGCGTTGCTGTCTGTGCGACCACAGACGCTTCTTTGAACATTTAAAGTCTTTTTTTTTTCACTTTTGAAGCTCCCACTGTGATGAATGCTTTATTCCTGCACTTCTGGAGTTGGAACAATGCCTTCATGGTGTGTCTGCTGGTCAGAGCTCAGTGGCGAGAGGCTGTGCTGACTCTCAACAATTAGTCAGTCTGTTTTCATGTGTGTGCGGTGAAGTATTTCTCTTCTTACACTGGTTTCCCAGGCTCCACACAGCGCTCATTTTCTAAGTGTTGGCCAACATTTGGCATGTTGTCATGGTTTCATCGCTCCTCCTGTGACAGTGGCTGTTCGTTTCCTTTTCACTGCAAGACTGAAAGCTGCCAGTCTTTTCTTTCCTCTCTCTACACACACACACTGTATGCATATGTGTGTTTGGTAGCTCACTATCCTGTAAGTGCAGGAGTGACAGCAACAGTTATTTTTATTTGACCATAATGTTAAAATGATTTTCTGTGTACATGTTTCCCAGTTGTGTTATAATGAATGTCATGTGGATGTAAAGCATCCTAAGGACAGTAGTCCCTTGGGCCCTGTGTGTGTGAGTGTGTGTCTGTGTGGGAGTGGGGGTGTAAGAAGCAGGGACAGCCCCACCACAGATGGCTGCCTTTAGGTGGCTGAAATACAGCTTCATTATCAGCAGGTTGCAGGTGGTAACACTCCCATCATTCTCACTGCGTATGGATGCATTTGTGTGTGTGTGTGTGTGTGTGTGTGCGCGTTGTGCTTAGATCATGAGAAATTACTGTGAGTGCTTTTTCTGGGTCTTCACTATATTTTATTAGACTTTGCTTCATTATTCTTTGTTGAATGTAAAACAGCAGAGGTCTGTGCTGCCTCGTGTGCATACAGAGGGATGTCTTGATAGAATAATGCTAACAATTCTACACAGCGTTTTACAAAAATAATAAATGCAGTAAAACAGAGTCATGTAGGTGGAGAATTATCAATTAAAATGCACAAAGGAGAATAAAATCCACCACAAGTCGATGCTTATGTATAAAATTTAAGAAAAAGCTGGAAGCTTTAAAAGAAAATCTATAAAATCAGCCCCTCA